AACGCCCCCACCACGGACCGTCAAGGAAACTACTTACGAACGATCAAATCAAAAGAATAAAACTGTTCTAACCGTCCACGGCGCTTGCCTAAAATGCTCTTCACAAGCTCCATCTCGCAATGTGCGCTCGAAACGCAATCCCCAACGATTCCCTCAAACTCTTTTCCGATTTGTGTTCGAACGCGCTCCAGGAACTCACGGCGGTTGCGCCAGTTGTAGTTCGATCAAAACCCTTCCACGTACGTCGTAATGTTCGCCGTAATCTCCCCCTTTGATCCCTCTCTCGTTATGCCTAACATTCCCCCGAAAAAATTTGACCTATTCGCTATGAAGTATATATGGTTCTACTTGTGCTCGAATTCAGGCCAACAAGATACAAATCGATGTATATGTTCAGCATGAGATTAAATAACTGGATAAAATTGTGAATTTCGAAATTTGTTGTTTGGTAGGAATGGAGAGATATTTTGTTCGAGTCAGATAGGTTGAATTCAGTCACTGTCTGGAGGAGAATTCTAGCGACCGACGGCGATATTTTCGTGTTTTTTCCGATAAACACCAGGTGAATGTTAGAACAGTACCCTAACCAACGGGCCGCGGACCACACGCGATCTTTCCTTCCTCTTCCTTGTCCTATCCTCACTCCTTATACACACACTTACATCCACTTCACTGCCACACGTGCCGGGAGACCGGTCGGGATCTTAGAGCTTGTCCCTGCGGGGAATCTTTCCCCGCCGGGACAAGCTGAAGGCTCCGCCACATCCCGATGACAGAAACATTATCTACACTTACGGGACTAATGACCTCATTAGTAGACGCGCTCGGAATAACAATCAATCTAAACTCTCGACAGGCGGCCCCTCCCAATCCTTTCTTCCGAAACGCTTCCTCGAAGCACTCGCACTCACAATCTTCGGCCTCACCTCGCTCCTACCTCTATCTCGGCGCAAACGCTCTCATATCAGACGTATTCAACATTATCACCGGAGACGCTCTGCACAAACGCCATCTCAAAACGATCGTCTGAAATGCACTGTGCTCGCCCTAAACGCACGATAGAACGGCTCAATCGCCCATCTCAAATGCTTAGGGGAAATAAACCTTACTAACAAAACACCTTGCTAACACGTCTAACAGAGTTTTATACGTACATCCTTTTTATATGTAGACATATTTGCAATATTCATTTTTGTATGTAATCACCTTTGCGTATAGACAATTACGCAATAGATATATCTTCATGTAGACAAACTTGCATTAGACATTTTTTCATGTAGATTGGCGCAATGTATAGACATTTATTACTTAGATCTTTTAGAGTATACAAAGCGTCGTTAGACATAAAATATTAGACCTACGGATCGGTAACGCCGTACACACGTTCTAAATACTCCCTCGAACTTTTTAGGCCATGAACGCTCGTCCGAAACGCTCGCCTCAGTCGTCGATTTGGTGGAAACTGACCCCCTAGATTCGTCGCTTGCTTCGATCTGCAGCGTGAAGCGCCGACCGAAGCGCTGGCCCCGAGCGCGTCCGCAACGCTTTGCCCTTTCCCTGAAGCAGCCGAATTCCGCGGAGGCACCGTGCTTCAGCGCCGGCGAAGAACGCTGGTCCAACATCTGCAAAACGCGGACAAAATTATTTTCCTTTTCTACCAGTGCTGCTAAAGCAGCACATACTTTACTGCCCTTAGTAATGCTTGCGTAATACTATTTGAAGCGCAATTTATCTCCGAATTAACACATCTCGGTAAAACTCTAATTTTCAAAACATAGTTCATGACCTTATTTCAAAATATATCTTTAAGGAACATATTTCGTTAAGGGAAAATCTCTTGCAATTTTTCGAACATCAGGGTTTTCAACGAACATCAGATCTGCATCATTCTCTTAAATGTTCTTCACAAAATTACAAAGCGTAATAAAGAACGTTGAAGCCAATTTTTCGGAAATTTGCAAAATGTTCAAGGGGCTTCATGTAATTTACCTCCAAAACTAAAATTTCTGTTTCAAATTCAAGGGACCGCGACATCAGTCAGATCGATTGGAGAATATCAATTTTGGAGAAAATCAGCTGAACGGTTTAGCAGCTAGCGTTGTTCTCAGATGGAGGGTCAGACTGACAGACGTTTTGCCGCCATTCAATTTTTCGGTTTCAAGGTCATCATTTTTCGGTTTCACCCACAAAACATTGATTTTGACTACACCACATAATAGAGAATTTTCCCTCTAAATTTAACAACTGAATTTATCCACTTTTCGTTTCCAAGATCCTGTAATAAGAGTTTTTCTGTCGAAAATTCGCCGTTTCTGCGTGCATTACATAACGTTATCTCTGCTCCTAGCGGGAAAGTGAAAAGGGCATTCGCAAATGCGCATGAGCTAACACACTTTTATTTACACCTTTAGCTTCTCCACACCATTCGACTGCCGCCGGTCAATGACCCCCACGGGCGAAACTCTCTTTAGGAGATTTTCTACGCGGTTCGCCTATCACCGGGTGAGCCCAGACTCGAGTCCAAACCGTAGAGCATATTCGACACCAGCTATAAAGCTACATCGTAACCGAACTTTTACTGATTGGGAATTCTAGAGGTCGCCTCACTTGATTGGTAGTTGCCTTGTCTTCCTTCTTCCAGTCCAGGACGACTCCGGTGCAGTGATTTACACGTAACACAAACCGCGAGCATTTTCTCACTATTTTTATCTAGATCTACAACTCTTCTGTAAGAGTTGATTGATTATTTCGTGTAAGCGATTAAGTCCATTGATTCCATAAGTGTAGTGCATGTTTCCCTAGAAGGTGGCTATAATTCCTGATATTCCCCTGCAGCATTGTGAGATCTAGCGCAGAACTACACGTCGGCCAGCCGGGTTTTCACAAACCAGGTATAGCATCTCACCAGCTAGGCACCGCCCAAGCCGAGAGCTCTAAGCTCCCGACTGATCTCCCGACATGTGTAGTAATGTAGGAAATGTAAGTGTAGGTATGTGAAAATAACGGGCGAGGACAAGGAAGATGAAGGAAAGATCGAGCGCGGTGAATGGGACATTTTGTAGGGTACTGTTCTCGCATTCACCTGGCATTGATCGGAGAAACAGAGTAGCCGGCCACTAGAATTCTTCTCCAGACAGCAACAGATTACGACCTATCTATATAAAGAGTTATTTGAAGTTGTTATGGAAATTCAAAATGAAAAATTAAGCCTTCAGGATTATAATTCCTAATATTTTAATTAAAACTTATACAAATTTCGTAATACAGTACATATGTACCACACGAGAAAAAAGAAAAATGTAATGTTGCTTGAAGCACACTTGACTTAAATATCAATTCTAACGACAGTAAAAAATAAAAATTATAATAAATAATATGGATTATGTAAGAAACATGCTTAGCAAGTATTGTAGAGAAGCACGTTATATTTTATAATATGAACATTTACTAAGAAATGTGATACCGAAATTCCCAAGACGTCCGGTTGCTTAAAAATATTCCTATGTTTCCGGAACTACCACACGTTCTACATATTAAGGATTTATTTCTGGCGGGACGGAGTTCCAGTACCTCAGGAGCAAAATAGAAAAAACAACAACGAAAAAGCAGAAGACAAACACTTGACAACTTTCATTTTTAGTTCCACCAACTTTCGTAAACTCAAAATTAATTTTTCACTTAATTGTATCATTTCTACGAATGTAATAAGATTATTAGAACAAAAACGATAAAAATTATAAAACTTTTTGTATTTATTATTATTACTATTGCAACATGTGCACAGAGATACGGCTATCATTGTTACTAATTTTTATTAAAATGGTTTATAATTATGAAATTATATTATAACACATAACTATTTCTGTTAAATTAATAATTAATTTGGGAGGCGTTTCATGACTTAAAACTGTATAAATAAAGCAATTGTACATATTATTATGACAAAAAAGATGGGACTAGATATATAACAAGCATAACTTAAACCTTCATCGAAATAAAAAAAAAAACTGCTTAATGTTGAGGAATCGCTGAATCATATCGTTTGTCAACTTCAAAAATTTAATGATCTGATTTTAGATTCACATTATAGTTAATACTTTACATACATTACGATCTTAACATGACGCTGGGATAAAAATATCTCAACAATTTGTAAATTTCAATTTCGTATTTAATTTTCTCACATCGAACGTCTAGTAATCTCAAACCAAAGTGACTCAACAATCAGACAATCCTTAATTAAACGCGAAACATCGAACATTTTTTCCTTTTTGTATGTGCTTGCATGAGTAAGTTGGGCAATATTATCAAGGTTAAAATAAAAGCGTAGTGATCAAATATTTGAATCCCAGACAGCATATCTGAGGATAGCTAAGTTGTTGAATACTGATATCTTTTATTTGAATAATTTTTGCTTGGTGTTCTAAAAAACAGTCAGCTTCAAAACTTTTTTTCGAGAGTGGCGGTGGTCTTCCCCCGCCGCATGGCGCAATCCGGCGCCGACCTACCGTCGGCTAGCGGGGATTTTCCCAACCGGGTATCTCCCATCAGTGGGGCACCACCCCACCCGGGACAAACTAAGCTCCCGACAGTTCTCCCGCATTTGTGACGAGGCATCTGTGCTAGTTATGCTTGTTAGTGTAAGTGTGTGTAAGGGGTGATGATAGAACAAAGAAGAGATAGGAAAGATCGCGTGCGGTCCGTAGCCCATTTGTTAGGGTACTGCTCCGGCATTCGCCTGATGGGAATGGGAGAATTCACTGTAATCTACCAATTAGAGTAGTCGATCTCTAGAATTCTCCTCCAGGTAGCGACTGCATTCGACCTCGCTATGTAGCTAGAGCCAGTCGGAACTCGAACCCTAGGTCAGAAAGAGTGCAGCTGAGGCCCTGAGAAAAAAAAAGAAGTCGGTAACGACAACCTTTATTTCGTACTCCTGAAGTGGCAACCCTTGGCGGGAGGCTGATGGTTTTGGCCGCTGTCCGCGAGCCGCCCGCCACCGTGCGCGGTGGGTGTGTTGGTGCGCGCGCGGCGCGAGGCGCGCTGTCGAGGCGTTGGCGGGGCTATGATCGGCGCGGCGGGGGCGGGGGCGCGGGGCGGGGCGCGGGGCGGGGGGCGCGGGGCGGGGGCGCGGCGGGTGCGCGGGGCGGGGGCGCGGGGCGGGGGCGCGGGGCGGGGGCGCGTGGACGGGGTCAGCGTCGTCGTCGGAGACTGGCGGGATGGCTGCGAGCGGGAGCGGGTGCGGGAGCGGGGGCGGAGCCGTTGGCGTGGACGGCGGCGACTCGACGGCCAGAGGCACCGCCATGGTGGGCATGGACCGCGTTGCGGCCCCGGGCGGAGGGGGCGCTGCGGGCGACTACGGCGACTACGGCGCGGGGTACGGCGCCCCGCAGCAGCCCGGGGCCTTCGTGCCGCCGGTGCCCGGCGCTCGCCCCAAGGTACGCTCCGCCCGCACTGCGCGCCCACCACTCGTCCCCGCCCTTCTGCCTTCCTCCGAGCGAAGGCACTGCGCCCAAGCGCGCTTGCTGGCGCCCCTTTGCCTTCCTCTGAGCGGTGGCCAGCATGTGGAACATAGGCCGTGGATGACGATGGATAGTTATAGAAGATAGTAGGCGCATCCAAGGCCCGACACCCACTTGCGTAAAACATCCATACCTTACGCCGCTTTCGAACCGCAGTCTTCGTCTCCGACGATTCTCCAAGACCCTGCTGCACACACCGAGCGCCCTGGATAATACGTTAGTAATTGCATGCTTCAAGACGATCGCAGTGTTACGCAATACACAAACACTTCATACAGTATATTCTAACACTTCGGCACTTCTTTCAGTACAAATCTTTCTCTTTATAATGGACGTAAGCAACCAAGAAGAGACGGTTGATTCTTAGCTTTCCTGGTCAAATGGGACATTTCATTCAAATATCAATGATTTTATTCCTCTCCCTTGCATCGGATTGATTCTCTCTTCAGACAAATCTGAGATTAATGTAAATATCTGAGAACCGGGTCCAGTAACTTTTAACCCTTTCGATCGCATTTACCGATTTCGCTCATTTCCCTCATCAAGTCCATTATCTGTGTTAATGAGGTCCTCGTAACGAGCAGTGACCTGCGCGCGAGTCGTGAATGAACTCTGCGCACCCTTTCATTTGCTGGCTTCACCCCCGCCCCCACCCCCGCCGCCGGGGACACTTCGTCCGCAGCTGCTCATTGCGCCTGGGCCTCGCCTCGAGGCAGGGGGCGCCCGACGTGACGTCCAAAGGTTGGAGCGCAGGAGCTTGCTTGCTACGGAAATGACGCTAGGTTCTGCGAGCCCTACCAAAACAAGGCGTGTTCTGGAAATAAGCCATTTTTCAGCTAAACTTGAAAATTAAATTAAAATCATTTAACACTAGCAACATATCACGCGCGACTCTGCGGTTTATTCACTCTCTCTTTGGCGATAAACGTTTTAGAATTGCGTTAGATTTCCGTTCATTATAGAAGATTTTACCTTGAGGATTCCTTTGAATTTTTAGTGACACCCCTTATTTTTCTTCGTTTTGAGACCACAATTTCTTTAAAGAAACATATTCCTGATTTCAAGCATTCAATCGTGTTTTATTTCTCGGCAACGACAATTTAAGAATTGCACTTCTGAGCGTAAAAAATGTATTTACGAAGGGATTTATACATTTTTGGCCCATATTTTTTTTCCGTTCGAGACATTTTTTCAATATTTTTCAATCTTCGAGTGGAAGTCCATTTAGTGTATAATATAATGATTTCCAATAATATTTTAAGAAAGAAATGATGTTGAAGAAAAGTGTGTTCCATTTCCATTACTTTCAAAGATGTTTCGTAACATCTTCATGTTCGAAGGATATCATTAGATATTATTAGCTTCTTTATGTCAATGAAAATTAGAACTAAGCGATAGTTATACTACTTACAATTTTATAAATAGATGCGATAGTTAAAGGTTAAGCAAAAATGTAAAAGCCAGTAATATTGCAGTCAGTCCGCAAATTTTAAGGTGGCCGGGGGTGGGTGGGAGGAGGTAGGAGCACATGGCGAACAGCTCAATGGAGACGCGCAGCCGCTGTGAAGCCAACGGAGGGGCCAATCTGGGATTCATCTCTTTCCTCGGAACGGTTGTCTAGAAATAGGACCCGAATGTGTAGAATTTTATAACTCACATTTTTGACTTTGAGATGATGTAGCCTTTTTGGGATTGAATTTGCAAGATTTAGGCACATCGTGGTGTAGCGTGACATAATCAAACCATAATTTAATAACCATAATAACTTTAATAATAGGTATGTTGAGTCGTTCAAAATACGCTTTATTTAGGAAGTTAAATCATTAGAATATGCTTAAATCCTTCAAGTGCAGTGGCGAATCCCAGATTACTGAAATGCACTCGGATGACCAAAAGAAATTATTACTCCGACGATCAAATAAATGCTTATTTTGATTATAAGAAGGCTTTTCACTTGGATTTCAGTGTCGGCATCACAGAGATGCACGTGTGGAATTTTCTAAATTAAGCCTAGGATGACAGAGCGAGGTATGTCTCCCCTAAGACTATTTTTTGGGGTTTCTTTTTTTTCTCGCCCGAAGATCTCTGTCTCAGTGCATTGAGTTTTGCTCTCCATTCCAAAAAGAGAATCAGAATTGACGACCTTCATTTCAGATATATTCATGTTAGATCAAATTAATCTTTCTTAGTAGTTTCTTGATTGGGTAGACAGTGTCTACCTTGCCCCTACAGACACATGATTTAATTTTCTAATTCATCCGCCCTCCTCTCATTTATAAACAAGCACAATTAGTTTTTATTTTTTAAGTAGTTCTTTAGCCGATCTAGCAGCTGAGGAGGATTTTGAACTATTTAAATTACTCAATCTTCGTCGAAGTGAAAATTACAAAATGTGAGCAATGTAGTAGAGATGCAGAAAGTTGAAATTTTCAATGTCTCATTTAGAATACCAAAAGTTATTTGTCATAATCTCTTCATTAGTCTTTAAGAATGGGGCTTGAAAGTTAACTGCGAGGCAATGCAACTATTCTACAATACAATCTGTTTTGGTCAAATAGAAGTGGAGGCAAGACCATCAGTATTGTCTTGACTTGCTCCAAGATACACCATTGCTCTTATGAAAATGTTTTTGTATAAAATGAATTAATGATCAATAAATCTTTTGGATCAAAGTAAATATTTCATTATTTATAATTTCTGATACCCGAATCAAGAGTATATTGTGGACTTTTTATTTATTTCGTTTCAAGTTGCCCGCTTTTAAAGATTATTATTATTATTATTATTATTATTATTATTATTATTATTATTATTATTATTATTATTATTTGTCTGTTAGTGCCCTTCTACAACATTTGATACTCTTTCGGGCTTCGTTTTCTCAATTTCTGCCTTCATCCCAAACCTAGATCTCCCTAATTAGGGTGAAGGTTTTCTCGTATTTCAAAAACTTGCGTGCCTTAGTTCTCCACATATCCTGTATAATACACAAACTCAAACAGGCCTAGAAATTCTTCTTCCTCTATGATACCGGCCTTCTTTTACAAATCAATAATAACTGCCCATTTTATGTCAAATTTGATAACCCGCATAAAGAATTTACAAATGTTCTTAGCATAATAGTTATGTGTTAGTTTTTGGAGAACCCTGTTTGAATTCAGACTTACTACTTCACACGGAACGGTTTTAAAGTACAAAGACATACGATAATCTAACGTAACGCACGTACCAAATATTCAAGATTTATTGCCTTTGTTGGAACCTTTTTGGTTGAGTAAGTAGCTCTTTTGATATCAACAACATCACTACGTGTTCCAGTGAACAAGAGAAACAATCTTGCCCTCTGGGTAATTCAATGCTATAGAAAAAGTTAGAAATAATAGACCGTCTTTGGTTTCATTAGACCAATAAAAAGAATATCAGCTGGCACCTTTTGCACTCTTTTTGAAAAGTCAAGAGGTTCGTTGAAATTGTTTCGTTATTTTAGAATGTGTTACTTAAGTTGGAGAAATTAAACCAAGGCCTAAATATTTCCAGCCATTTTAATCAAAAGCCGGTGGAATTAGACGTTAATTAGACTAAAACCCGTTGTTTGCGAAAACCTGCTGTTGGTGACGTTGGTTTACTGATTCCCGGAACGGCCGGTCGGCGATCAAAGGCAAAAGAAGGCCTTGCAATGTGGAAAGCCACGAGCACCTCTACAACGCGCTCAAGTGGAAACGATTTATTTAGGCGGTTCGCTGCTCCTCTTATCCCTCGCTGCCGCCTCTACTCCGTGGCCAAGATCTCCCACTACATGTACACGAATGTTCTGCTATTGCGAATGTCGCGCAGAAAATACGAGAGAACGAGCGATGAAAAGGTGAATAGTAGGGAGGTTTCGAAATCAATAAGAAGTTTCGAAGCTTTTCCGGGTAAACTACTCAGTTAATATCAGTCCCCGATGACTTCGCATACATGATCAAGTTTACATTTTTGTTTGCATTGTATAAACATTAATGAAAAACAAATTTGAAACGTTGACAACACGCACAACCTGGCGGTAAGGCGGGTAGTATCGGAGTCAGGCAAGGGAACACGGCGGTGACTGTGTCAAGGTTCAGCAGGCCAGGACAGTCAACGGCAGCGTAAGTCAGAGGGGAAAGCAGATCAGACCCCAGCAGACTAGAAATTATACACTAAAGACAGAATACATTCCTTTTTCTGCATGAATAGATAAATATGGTAAACTAATGGTAAGTTGTATCACATACCTTCTCACATTATTTCTAAATTTGCAATTTCCGAAAATGCAGAGAGTTTTTGAACATGTGACCCACGCCATTCTTTTAAGCATTCATTCTGCTATCAGAGGTAAAAATTTAAAAAAAATGTAAAGCGTTTTTTGGAGAAAAGGTTTTATTTTTTTTAAATTGCCTATATTCGCACCAAATTCCACAAAACTACTCACATTTTGAATTCTTGAACCTGAACTTACTTAAAGATACAGATTTCATTAAGGAAAAATATATCTTCAATATTATGGTTGTAGGAAGACGCTCCACAAAAATTGCACTTCTGCCATTTTCAAAAAATATAGCATATAAACGAACATGAGACCCTCACCATTCTTGTAAGAGTTGTTTAGGCTGTCTGAGAACAAAGGTTGATAAAAAATGTACCTTTTTTAGAAAATATTGAAAATGTTTTTGAGGGCCCGCAAAAATCGAAATACACGATTGAAACTCCCAAAGTTTCGAGTTCATTCAGATTGGTCGTGAAATACCAAGTTTTCGGAATCAAGCACCCCCAAAATTGGGTTATGGCTACACCATGAATTAGAGGAAGTAATTCATTATAAATAGCACAAGGATGTATCTACTTCATTACCAGGACCCGGCAATAAGAGTTTTTCTGCCGAACTATCGCTGTTTCTGGCGAACGATTATACAACTTTCTCTTCTTTCGAAGTATCTTGTAACGGCGAGAAAGAAAAACAATTCCAATCGAGTAAGAGGATTGGGCTTTGGGCATTGCGCGTGGTTGGAGTTAGAGCCGAGCGCCGCCTGTCTCGCAGGTGGACCCCGAGGCGCAGGGCGAGGTGGACCCCACGGTCTACCCGGAGCCCAAGGAGTCCACGCACAAGATCCGCGGCCGCTCCGACTTCCTGGAGATGCTGTGCGGCTCCGTGGACCAGGAGCTGCTCACCGTCAAGACCTTCTACTTCTTCTTCTACTCGGCGTTCGGCTCGCTCTTCCCGCTCATGGGCGTCTACTTCAAGCAGATGGGCATGAACCCGGGCCAGTGCGGGCTGCTCATCGGGTCGCGTCCCTTCGTCGAGTTCCTGTCGGCGCCCTTCTGGGGCTCCCTGGCGGACCGGTGAGTGTGCCGACGCCACACGCGACAACACAGGGCATTGGTAACGGACCATTTTATCAATTGCTAGTGGGCTTCGCTCTTGCAATGTACAGCGCGCCAGGAAAGTCTGTACGCAGTGGTACCTTGCTGGTGAGAGTTCATGCAACAAAAATTATGTTGGTAGCACGAGCTGCAGCTTGTAAATTGCGTGCTCACCACAATCATTGATGCGTGATGCGTGTAGTCCCGTTCACTTGTTTCCCAGTGATATGATTGCTATCAACACAAATGCAATTTTTTATAAGAGACGCTGATTCGGCTAGGTGTTGAGAGACTTTCCTGGTGCACTTTATTACACTTCCCATGCTACTGGTCACATGATTGTTAATCCCGTTTTACGCGACGATCTGCAAAAAATGTAATTGATGAAAGACTTTGTCGCGAGTATGAGTTTGTGCTATGTCTTGGTTTTCACATGGTTGTCAAGTATCCTATTGTTGAAACGTACTTCGCTTAGATACTATCTTGAAGAAATTTGATTTACCTACCCGAGGTAATATTCAAGTATTATTTTCGCCGATATTTCTTAACCGTTGGGGCAAAATATGAAGCGAAGACGCGCTTAATTCTTGTGGATGGGGAGAGTGGTACAGAGCTTCTGATCAGGGGCGCTTGAGTCAGCACAAATGCATAAAATCACCATCAACGCGCGTCTATTTGAGAGAGACATATGCACATTCCCATTGTACTAAGTCTATATTCTTCGCGCAGGTGTAAGCAATAAGTTGACAACGTTTTATCGCAATACGATGAGCAGTACGGTAGATTTTACGGCGAACACGTTTTACCATGGAGTGGTGGCCACAGACGCACGTCTTTATCCGAACGCATAAGTGTTCAATTGAAACCGTATGAACTCCTTAACATGTATCAACCCCTTAACAAACGTCAAACACCTGGACCAAAGAATCTTTGTCCTCCACACGAAAGTTTCGATACTCTCAACTAAGTAGCCGATAATCCACCGGCAAGTAACACGTAAGATGTCTGGTCCTAAGCCACATACGTCCTGTCATTTGTAATCTTAAAATTTATTATCACCATAAATATTATATTGACATTTATTTATTAATATATTTTGTAAATGGCTTCCACCCAGTTGTACTCAATTGCAGTAATATACGATATAAGTAGATCTCATCTCAACAATTCACGCTCGGGATCCTGAGTGTTTCGATTGAAACCCTGTCGCCGCTGCTTTCCTTCCCGTCGTGCGAACAATGAAAGAGGCCTGTAGCAGAGGCGCTGTGTCCGCGGCGCCGCGAATCGGAAGCGCTCGGCTCGGCGCGGGAGCCATCGATCTCCGACCCCTGGCACTCGGCGCCGGGCGCACGTCCTCGCCCTCGCCCGCACCCACGCCCGCGCCCTCGCCCGCCCACGCCGCTCCGCAGCGCGCGGGCAGGGCACCGCGCCAGCCGCCGACGCGAAGGGACCATTCACTTCATTGCCCTACTTCTCCAGCAATTCCCGCTCACGCTTTTTGCTAAGACATTCTGTTCCACTCGTCCTACATCCACTCACGTTTTGTACAATTGAACACTGTCAGCAATTTTCAGGAAACGAGTACCCACATACAGCACTCCCGGTCACTCCGTGGGGGTCTATGCCATCATCCGATCCTTTAAGTAGTATTCCGTTGTTTCTGTGCTTCTTAATTCAGTGTAACTGAGCGAAATAAGCCTTCATGAGCTAAAGAAATATTCAAGTGTTAGCACCTTGACAAAAAGGCAAGAACAACTAAAAATTCAAGAAAGAACTAGTAGTAAAGTACTAAAGTGACGTATATAATTTTGTTAATTTTTTGGGATGACTGCACTGGATTAACTGAATTGACATTTATTTAATAAGGAATAAATTGCAAGATTTTCGTGTACATTTGAATTGTGGCTCTTTTTCAAAAGGGTTAATCACGAAAAACGAAGATGCATTGTATGCTGTGGGTTAACGTTAAAAATTCTTCGGAAGCTTGAATTTGCTATTCGTTCCATGCTTTCAAAAGTATCAAAATAATGTTTCAAAACATATTTTCAATAAATATAAAACAAAGCACTTGCGTATAAACTCATATTTACAAGTCAGAACAAAAAATACATCAGTGTTTTCGGAAATACTAGATTTGACTGATCATATTTGTTAACAAAGAGTGAAAACCAGTTTTGATTAATTGAGTTAAATGTGACGACTAAGCCTTCTTACACATAAGTAATAGATTATGGCCCAAAATAGGATCCTAATATTTCACTTTTATAGTCGGCTCTCATGCGATGAAAATGCGGAATGAGGTGAAAATAATAGTTATATGGGTAAAGCAATTAAAAGTTACATCGTTCTTCACAGAGTTAGCCAGTTAGCAATCTTCAGCAATAACCAGTTAGCAATCTTCAATAATCTCGGAAGGTTTTGTTACCCCTGCCTGAACGGATTTATTTCGAAGTCGATGAATTGTTAATCTAATATAAAACCTTCCTCTGGTTATATAGTAGTTGAAATATTGAAAATACAATGTTGGAAACAGATTATTCATGTAAAGAAAAATCCACGTAACAATGTTTAATGGCCAGGCCTCTTAGATTTTGATGATTTGTGAGACATGACCTGAATCTGATGCTAAGAAACAAAATGTGTATTTATGAACATGTTAATCAAGAAAGTCTGGATGACACTTAGTACTTTTCAAATGTTTGATAGATATTTATTCAATTCGCATATCCCAGTGAAGCTACCGTTAATGCAAGCATTGTTCTGAGACGTATAACTCATCCACATGTTTCGTCCACGCGCCTTCCCGCTCTCTTGTTGTGCGCGGGGAGAGTCTTTGTGCAACGTGCACGGTGAGACGGAGGGAGCATTCATAGCCACGTTTCCGCGTTTCCCAAACACAAAGGACTGTACAAGCCATTGAAGTGGTTAACAGTTGCCCTCGAATTCAAAGCCTTTGTCACTGAATACGCGCAAACGTGAGTGGGAATTGAAAGCTGAGCGCATTCGCAAGCAAGAGCTCAAAGTATTGATTTCTCAATACGCACGGCATTGCCATCGCACTGTACACTCGCGATTCTTGGTTGCGTCTTCAGTACAATGTTATCAATCGTACGAGTACACGCCAGTGTACATGAAGTCGGATAACTTTTCTTGATAGATAGACGTTGATAAATATTGATGTCTGGATCTGATCACATTTGGGCACAGTGTCTACACTTTACAAGGTGCGTGACGGTCTGTCAATCTTCATATCCATGATACGTTTGAATACCATTTTTTATTTTTCAAAAAATGTATTTAATGTTTGACTGATTAAGGATATAAGACAACTCAATGAATAAAGAAAGATGAACTCAACAGTATATTACGGGTCTAAAGTGTACTTACTGATCTAAAATTTAGAATGCTTATTGTAGAAATATTGTTTTTATGCATTTGAAACTTAGAAATGAAGAACAATTAACAATTACAAATATTTGAAACTGAAATGGATTTTAGTATCAAAGATCATTCAGAATTTAAAATTGTGTTATACGGAAACAATATTCTGATATCGTTTTGGTAAAAAAGTATTCGGAACATGTGAGAGGAACACAATAATCCATTGAAATAATTGTTCGTTCAATCTTTGAGACAATCTTCCGTTTCCACATCCTTTCTTTCCCTTCTATTCTATCCTATTATTTAGAACCACACATACACACACACACAACCACACACACACACACACATATATATAATATATATATATATATATATATATACTATATATATAATGATATATATATATATATATATATATATTATGTGTGTGTGTGTGTGTGTGTGTGTGTGTTTAAGAAATATACAATGGGGACCGTGAAAATAATCATTGCATCCTCATTGTCAATTTCTAAATGAATGTCATACGTTTTGTTCTCTTCGATTAAATGGAAAATATTTCTTTAAATACAAATACCTGAGAGCTCAAGTCGTAGCGATTAAGAAAAAATCAAAACTCTGATAAAAAATACTTGGGAAAATCTGAAAATGTCATGGAATAAGCTGGAACTGAAATTCATATTAATTCGGATTTTAATGCAATGTGGATGCTCATCTAGAGAAGTAATTTCACTACGTACTATTTTGATTCATTACAGGCTTCGAAATATTTGACACGGGTATTTTTTAAGCGCGTGTAATAATTAATGAACATTTTATCAATAAAATGAATATATTTGTACTCCAATGTAAAGTTGTAATTTGTATCTTTTACTATGTACAAGCTCTTTGATCTTTGACATTCTTATTTTCCTAAGGGATTCTTTATTGTGCTAAAACATTGGAATGCGTTTGTTGCCGATTATCAACGTGGACTGTCGATTTTTTGCTAGAAAACTATATTTTTGTGCTTTATGCCATTTTAAAGAAAGCAGAAGCCGGAAGTCGTTCTGCAATGCTTACCAAATCTAGAATTACTAAATGGTAAAAAATATTATTTTTAAAACAGTATGAGGTATAAAGTTTGCTATTGTGATAGTGATTTACACGAATGATCAGTGACAATGAAAATCTCAAATTTGTAGTCCTACTATATGAATAGTATGCTAAAATGCACAAAAATAGGTATACAAGAATACTGGCATGTTCACGTAAGTTACATATTTTCGTACCACTTTAAATATAATACCGTGGAAAGATCAAAACTTGTTATTTAAATTTCTGGACCAAAAGATTTGGTTATACGTTTGGGTGTACTTTGTATTATGAATTACTCGGGAGATGTGCGCATGATTTCACAACACAGCAAAAATGCAAATCTGAAGTTAATCCTCTGAAACGTCCGCTGCTGTGGCCGTAGACGTAACTCTTTGTTTAGTAGATGGTTCGTTGCTATGGATTTAAGACATGTTTACTTACGTTAATAACAGAAAATAATACATGAACCGTTGCTCGAAATCGTCTATTACTCTGTCGTCTCGAGATATATCAGCAAAACTAATG